TTAGCCGACTTGCTAAGTTGACTCTGACGTTCAAGTGATCATATTGGAAAGTTTTAACTACGGATGTGCACACGTGCGACGTAAAATTTTCATGGAGGGGGTGTACTATTCGTGTAGTGTTGTAGGTGATGTTTACATTTCGGGAGCTAATATCCCAGGTTCCAATCTCACGGAGGGGCGTTTCCTCCTTTCCTCGACCTTGTGACCTTCGGTTGTAGTGACTATAGGCTTCGCCTTGTGAATGATTTCCTGATTCTCGATAATACTTATATCCAGCGGGATCACCCGAAAAATCAGTCTCGCGAGCAAGGTTCCTAACTAGCCAAAGAATCAACTTTTGATTCTCGAATCCGGTCGGAGATTTATGTACCGGAGTAAAAAATCAGCGAATCAGGGGTTAATCCTCACCATCTGATCTTTTCATCTGAGTGGTTACTCTGGTTCACCTGTTGCATCCGGATCCGCATACAGCCCCTGGGATGGCTCCATGGGGAGAACGGCATATGTAGCGAGCGCCCAAACATGCATGTGCGTGTTGGTGAGGAAGTGAAACGGTTAGATCCGGTACCCACACTTTCCTCATCGAGAGGGAACGGGATCGAGTTCGACCAATCACTTAGTATCGTCACAGATTTCTTAATTTGCAATGCTCCTCCGTTTAGTGACTCTCTCTCTAACCGCCGATTATACCCTAGCCTTCGGTGGTATATTTCATAGGACTACAGCGGCTCCTACGCCTAAGGTGGTGACTACCCCTGCCACAACTACAGCGGCTCCTACGCCTGAGGTGGTGACTACCCCTGCCACAACTACAGCGGCTCCTACACCTAAGGTGGCGACTACCCCTGCCGGAACCACAGCGGCTCCAACTCCTAAGGCGGTGACTACCCCTGCCGGAACTACAGCGGCTCCTACGCCTAAGGCGGTGACTACCCCTGACGAGTACTGTGAGGATTATTGCTCTGAGACTTCGGGATGTGGACAGTCCTATTGCAAGGAGGATGGTCACTGCTTTGGACTATATCACAATGGTGACTCGAAGTGTTATCAGTCCGATGATGAGGAAGATGCTTGCGACGACTCGTTCGAGCCCGTGAGATGCCTCGAATCCCCGCCATCGACCTGTGATGATGCTTGTTCCTCTGTTGATGGCTGTAGGACCTCTGAACTTGGAACCTACTGCAAGTTTTGGTTGGATGATCCAGTGTGTTATGGCATCCTCAAGAAGAATGACGGCAGTTTGTGCTTTGTGGTGACTGATGAGGCATGCGAGGGTAATTCTTACCCCTGTGATTCCCAGACTGCGGCTCCAGTCGAGACCACCGAGGCTCCGGTCGAGACCACCGCGGTGTAATACAATCCGGCAATCGCAACTTTTTGCTAATGTTGCGGGTTTGCCAAATGCTATAATTCCTGACAGTCTCACTTTTTTGCTCTTTTGTATGTGCTGCTTTCTCAGTTACAAAGTAGCAACCACATTTACAACCTAGCAATTTCTGGTATAGGTTTTAGCAACCAAATGTTGAAAGTAGCAAATTCGAAAGTGTTTTCCAGCAAGGCGCCCTTTTTTGCTCTTTTTTTGCCGCATTGTATATTACTCCGGAATGTTTTACACTCTGGCACTTTTGCCCACGTGTGCTTCGCCCGCACATTTTCGTTATTCTGGCAAGTTGTGCTCATTTGCTGTTTAATATGTTTCGCATTGTAATTATATAATCTGGCACCTTTTAAGGTTTGCTCTTGTGTGATGTTCCTGTATGAAATATACAAATTGGCAGTTGCCGGTATGTGACAACGCTGCGCTACTTTTATGTTTCGGCTATTTGCTCTCTTGTAACTTACGCCCTGCGGGAATATGTACTAGCGTTTTGCTCATTCGTTCAGACTCCGTCTCTGTTAGCGTTATTAGCAAACTTGCCCTTTTGCATTATTCGTACAAGTAATATACAATCGAGCAAACATAGTTATGGGATAGCATTTCTCGTTCGATTACGGTATTGCGTCTTATATCCATTTTGGTGCATGTTCATGCCCTGTGCACTTACTAAGTATCTATCAGAGG